CTCTGACCTGCTCCGACTTTACTAGTCCTACATTTTTTTTTGGGGGGGGGGGGGCTCTATTCCACAAATGACTTTAAGATTGTTAGTTTTATTTTAAAAAGACGTATTCTTAAACATTAACAGTTGAGATTTCGCCCCGCGAATTTTGAAATTTAAACTCTGAAGGTTTAAACATGAGTTAATGTCTCATGAAGAGATCTTTATAACATTCCCAGGCACCTCATAATGGATCAAACTTAAAACTTCAAAGCGGATTTAACTTTTGCTACACATCTAGTTGACAAATGTTTCCCAATCACAATTTATTTAAGTCATCTCCTTTGAATGAACAAATGGATAATCCATATAAGAAAAAAAAAAACAATTTGAAAACAGTTACAAAACTGAAAACTGACAAGGGACAGAATTCTAAGACTGGAAACGAGATATGCCCCAATGTTAACAAATAAATGCTAAATTTGGTTACATAATCAATCTGAACCAACTTTCCAAGGAGTGTGTTTTAAGTAACAAATGATTTTGTTTTTGGCACGAATTCTAATAAGTGCCTAATAAAATATATCTTTAATACTGCGAGTCAAAAAGAAGTTAGACCATAACTCACCAGGTCAAATTCCATGTCTCCGACTATGACAGTCCCGCGATCTGTGAACACCGTTGCCCCGTTATTGGGATCAGCAACTTCCGGCCTGTCTGTTGGAGTTCAGAAATAAGACGTTTCAGGGACAAGCCTGCACTGCTCTCAACAATGATCAAGGGTTTGTTAGGGACAAGCCTGTACTGCTCTCAACAATGATCAAGGGTTTGTTAGGGACAAGCCTGCACTGCTCTCAACAATTATCAAGGGTTTTTTAGGGACAAGCCTGCACTGCTCCCAACAATGATCAAGGGTTTGTTAGGGACAAGCCTGCACTGCTCTCAACAATGATCAAGGGTTTGTTAGGGACAAGCCTGTACTGCTCTCAACGATGATCAAGGGTTTGTTAGGGACAAGCCTGTACTGCTCTCAAC